CAACCTAGAGGGGACTCAACCCTGTCGTGGTCTACCTGCCTGCAAGGTTCTGCGAACAGAGACTGGATTCAGTTTTTAAGAGTGTGCGTAGTAGTGACATCTGAGCACCGATAGAAAGTGCTGGTTTGGTAATTCCCGAGTGTAGTGAGGGTACAGGATCCTGTTCTGAACTGTTGTCTGCCCTTCTCCCTCTTTCCTTCTCTTCCTCTCTCCTGCCTTCCCCTTAAGGCAATTCTGGTTCCCAGACATGGAGAGAAGGGGGGGCACGGTGAGGAGACCAGAAGCCCTGCAGGGAGGAAAGGTGCCTAATTATTGTACCGGGCACTGTTCAGAATGGGAACTTCAGGCCCCACAGCTCCTGCAAAACACCAACCAGGCTCTGATGAAAGTTTCATGAGGTTTTCTCTTCCCTTTAAAGCCTGTTGGGACATTTTTGGCAGAGGAGAAAGGGGTAGGTTTCGCCTTAATCCTTCTCTGTCCCATATTTCTGATTTAAGTGGATCCAAGCCCAAGCCTTGCAATTATCTCAAAAATAGCCCCGATAGCCATGGTGCATTTGGTGGGTTTCCTTGGCGGTGTCTAATGAAACAGCCCGGCAAGGAAGAGATAGCCTGTTGGCAGGGTGGATAGATGGCCCTGCGTCTGTAAATCTCACATTTCATCTCGGTTTAAGCAGTCTCTGAGCTCATTAATTGTGTTTCTGAGAAGGACCAGGCATTTATCTTTAAGAGCCATCTAGCTTCAGTGAGTTCATCTAGCCTAAAGAGAAGGGAAGGGACAAACCGGAGCTCTCCACTTAATTTTACTGAACAAGAAATAGATTGTCAGCCAGGGTGCCGGCTCTTGATCTGTTTTGCCTGATTGCCCGCCAGACAGGTGTTGCCAAGTGCTGCCCCTGCCAATGGTGCGTGAGAGTGCCACCTCCCTGTGCTGTAGTGGCAGTAAAGATCACCTATCTTCCCCTGACCCAGGTGGACTTCTGTCCATGCCCACGTCACACGAACAAACATAGAAGAAACCGATAGAACTGCCTAATGCACACAGAGGACCTGCCTGTTTTAAACAAACCCCATACACAGTATCTCAAATTTTACCACAAAGACAGAGTAAAATGACTCTTGATACCTTGCAATTTTTTTAACCATCAGGTTCCTCTGATGAATTTAAAATAGATTTTAAATGTCAATGGGTATGGGGATAGTTAAATTACACCCATGGTATGGAATTGTATGCAGCTGTTAAAAAAGGAAAAGATTGGGAGGGGGGGTGGGGTTATGGACACTGGGGAGGGTATGTGCTATGGTGAGTGCTGTGAAGTGTGTAAACCTGGCGATTCACAGACCTGTACCCCTGGGGATAAAAATATGTTATATGGTTATAAAAAATAAAATTTAAAAAAAATTAAAAAAAAAAAAAAAGGAAAAGAGATGGTTCCCCATCAGGAGTTCTTTCCGGATCTGAAAGGTCCCTCAGGGAGCCCTCGGCACCCCCTGCAATAAAGAATTATGCAGTCCAGATTGTCAACAGTGCTGAAATTGAGAGACCCAACCTACATGAACTGGAAAAGTACATGGAAAAGATATTCACACTCTATGGGTAAGATTATAAGAAGCAAAAACAAGTATGCAGGTCAATATCTACAGCTCTGACCCATTTTTTAAAGTTAAAGTATATTTGTGTGTGTGTGTGTGTGCATGCACGTGCGCGCACGTGTATCTCTGGGCAAGTATGTTTGTACATCTGTAGGAAAAGGCAGGAAGAACACATGTCAAAATGGCATCCATGATTATCATTTCAGGGGTGACTTTGGAGAGTGTAGGGACTTCATTTATAATTCAGAAAAGAGTGGTGGGGAAAATAATACTGATTTTGATTTATATAAATTCAATTGACACCCTACCTTTCCAGGATCCTACATCCTGCAAAATGGATTTTCACAGGGCAGCACATTGACACAAAGCACATACATTGCTTTTCAAGGGACTGTTACATGAAGCTCATCTAGATGAATGCTATAAATGAGTTTTTTATAGGAGACTCTTTCTTTTCATTGCCCCGTGTCTGCCATTAATTACAGATGAGCTTGGCAATACTGGGCTTTGATTTCTTAAACAAACAAAATAAAATGAAACTCTTAATATGGGGCATAAACAGATCCAAGTGGTTAAAGATGCATAAAAAGTCTTTAAAACCACTTCATGGCATACCAAGATGACCAACATCTAGAAAACAATGGCCACGAATATTCATTTTGACCAAATTGTCCTGCCGGTCTCCTTGCTTTCAGCCAAATTGTTTTCAGCAGCACAGAGACGTGTCCAGAAGCCTTTGAAGAGTCTATTATTATGCAATTATTATGCAGTAACCAGACCGGGGACAAGAGTGCAGTGTAAGAGACACAGCTGCAGTGGATCAGCCAGGACTGAATGTGGGGGTAAGCAAGGGCAGGCCCCCGGGCTGCAGGCTCAGTGGACTGGGAGAGCCCTGAGATGAAGGAGGTGCAGCTCGAGGAGAGCTTGGCTTGGGTCCTGAAGAGGTGAAATGTCAGTGGTACTTGGAGAGAGGAGGGGACAGTCAGTTTGTGGGATCTGGAGCTAAGGGGAATAGTCAAGACTAGGTGCAGACCCTCAGGGGTCCTGGAGGAGATGGGAACTGGGGTCCCAAGGGGATAGACAGAAAGTGGTCCCAGGGAAGGGTGAGTAAGATGCGTGCAGAGGTTGCCGGCGTTCCAGGAACAGACACAGGAGAAGGACCTCCATCAGGAAGCCCTCTGGTGAAGACAGCGCTTAGAAGAAGGGAGGGAAGAGCCGCTGTGGAGGGCTCCTGCCAAGGTGGCTTCTAGGAGGAGCCGTGGTTGTCCGATAAGGCTGACTAGGTGGGCAGGGGCTTCAGGCGCAGAGGAGCAAGTAAGAGGGCAAGAAGGGGCCTTACACACTCTTCTTCAGGGTTGTAGCCTCACTTGTATTTTGCTGTCTGTTCCTCCCCCAGACCATAATGCCACTGGGGGCCTTGTCCTTTGTGCTCCTTATAGTGTACCTCGGGTTGAGCTCCGTCCTGGAGGGTGCATGGAAGAAGCATAGAGAACAGAGCTTGGTTGTTTGTAAGGAGGGTAAAGCAGCAAGGGAAAGAAGGGTGAGCTTTGAAGACGTTTCCGGGCCCGGGGAAGGATCTGGTTTGAAGGAGCATTTGAAGATAAGGAAGGGGAGGGGTGATTGGTGGAGGAAGGGCTGAGGACCCCAGGGGAAAGGTCTACATTCATGTCCCCTGTGTACGTAGACCTCAGGCTCAGCCTTACACTCTCCATGTGTGCCTCCCTGGTAAGTATGAGGCCAGAGACCCACCTGAGTGGCCAGGGTAGCATTCCCAAAGCTGACCTGGCAGGCATAGGCAGGCAGGAAAAGCCCTCCTGTGTACACCTTGCAAACAGGAGAGAGAAGCCATCAGCATGCCTGGGTGTATCACCCTTTGGGTGGGGATAGGAGGAAAAGGAGCTCTTCCTTCATGTTTCCGACATCTACTCTACAGATTGCCTATTTCATAACTATAGCTCTAGCCTAGTCATACCCCCAAGCATTTTTCTTCATGTAAATGGACTGTGCTGACTGGTCCTAGCCCATGTTCATTGTCAGTCTCTTGGTCATGGCCTTGACTGGTAATGATAATAAACGGGCTATAATGGCTCTTAACATTTAGGCCTTTGCTGAGTGCAGTCTATAATCTGGGCGTGTGGTGTCTCATTTAATCCGCATACCACCCTGTGAAGTAGAATGAGGAGTCTGACACTCAAGGTGTTGATGGGAGGTCAGGGCTGGATGTTTCCTTGTCTAGGTGGCCAGGTCACTTGCGCCTGAGACCTTGGGAAGTAGACCTTGGCCTTTTGGGTGCTGGTTGGCTCAACTCCTCGATGCAGCTTGTTAGGTCATGAAACCTCCCTGGGACCAGCCAGTGCCGAGGGGGTTATCCTCACTTGGGCAGAGTCCAGGAAAGGGATTTTCTTGTTTCTCTGTCTTGGATTCCCAGGTAGTGGTAGAGTCCACAGGCATATGATGAAGGGCTTGATGTGAGCTTCAGGCATGGAAAAGGGCCACTTGCATTACCTTCTCTCCCTTTGGGTGGGAAATCATCTTGGCCTGAAGGGTGATATCCTGGGCACGGGGGCAGGCTGGCCCTGAAATTTGCATTCCATAAAGTGTCTCTGCAACTCATCTTTTCTCTTCTGACTCAGCCAGGGCCCTTCCTGTGTTGGGAGCTGGCTCAGCATTCCGAGGATAAGGGGGGGCATGTGCATAGGTCAGTCCACTCCACTGCGGCTACTTGGGGCTACTGAGCTGAGTAGGGTGTGGCTTTTTTGGTACTGTGAAAAGATACTTTGCATCTTCCTGTGGCTTCCTAACTTGCTTATTAGAAAAACACCTAAATTTATATGTCAGCCTTCAAGGCCAGATGCGATCTGGACCCTGCCTGCCTCTTTGATATCTGATTACTTCCAGCCACTTCAGCCTTCCTGTTGGCTGACCCTCTCCTATTTGTGCCTGCCCCAGGGCCTTTGTACCTGCCGTCCCTGCATTGGAAATACCTATTCCAGATATGTCTGGCTCCTTCTTGTCATTCAGTCTCAATACCTGCTACCCTGACCCCCCCAGTCTATAGTAGCAGTCCTCACTCTGTCCCCCATAACCCATTTTATCATCTTCAGACTTATCACTGTCTGATACTATCTTCATCTGTTAGTTACTTATTACCTTCCTTATTTGCTATGTTTTCCCTCTTCTCTTTCCCACTCTACGGCAGGAACTAGTTCATTGTTATAAATGTAGAGCCTATATAGCACCTGGCATGCGTTACGCACTGAATGAACATTTTTGGATTGAATAAATCAAATATTTCTCTCCAAAGAATGTAGTTATTTTGTCTAAGAGAAAAGCATAGGAAAAGCAGTTGTTGCAATGTGAAACTCAATGTTTCTTGTCTTTGTTTTTTTTTTTTTTTTTTTAATGCAGGATATACCGTCCCTGCCATATGACCTGGTTGAGGGTCAGGTAAGTACTCATTTGTCATGAGTTGGGATTTTTGTTCAGTCTGGTGAAAATGAAGGAAGTAAAATCTCATGTACTCTATTACTGTGCTAACCCAGTCCAGCCATGTAAGGGTGTGACCAAGGAGCAGGGTGGGAATCCTCAGGGTGATAGTTTTCTTAAGCTCCCCTCCCAGCTGGAGGAGTTTCTGGGCATGACTGGAACACATGCCATCAGGCACAGCACTCCAGTCCCATGCCTGATGCAGACATCTATAATCAACCACAGCAGAATTCACCCTCCACCCAGAGCAGTCTCTGCCAATGGATCTGGGAAGGCTGGTGACTTGCTTGGCACCACTGATGTATGAACTCTAGAAGTCGGTTTTGCCAGGGTGTGGGTGGGTAAGCGGTTAGATGGCCTCTGATTAGAGATGATGAGAGTGGTTGTAAGGATGGAAGCCATGCCCTTGCCCCTGTGTCATCATTCAGCTTTGAAGGCAGAGAAAGGAAGCCACCTCTTCTGGCATCACACATTTTTATTAGCATTGGAACCACCAGAACTTGGCCATGTAAGAATATAATTGAACCAAACGGATCTATACCTTGGGGCAGTGCATTTTTTTCATTGACTCTGACTCCACATTATTATTGTTGCTTAATGAGGAGCTAATGTAACTTCTAATGAAGCCACATGGCCCTTGGATAGATGAAGTAAGGTTTTATTTCCCTCATGACACTGTATCCGCTCTTCAATTAAAACCCGGGAAGGAAAATTAATACCAATGTAAGAATTTTTTTTCTTCCTAAGATTAGTATCAAGATAGCGGCTTTTTATTACACATGTAAATTTCCTGTGTGGTGGGACTGGAGAGGTGCAGAGCTGGCCCATGGGCAGCCTGGAGTTGTTGGAGGTGGTGAAGGAGGCTAAATCAATGGTCTCCGTCGTTTGAGTGGTGACGAGCAGGTGCTTCATGGTCCCCCATTCCTTCTCCTGCTGACAGTGTCACTGCCTGTTGGAGACCACCCCGCCCCCCGCCCTGGGCTCCTGCTGTTGGCTGCCAGTTATGGGTAGAAAAATTTGAATACATAAAATAATTTACTGAGGCAAAATACACATATCATGAAAGTAACCATTTCAACATGAACAATTTAGTGACATTTAGTACATTCACAACGTTGTCAACTGCTGCTTCTAAGCATCTTCGTCACCCAAAGGTAACTACGTTAGCAGTCACACTCCCTGTTTCCCCTGGCCCGGCCCCTGACAACCACTAATCTACTTTCTGTCTCCGTGGATTTGTCTGGAATCACACATTCATATGATTCATACACACACATGTGGCCTTGCGTGATCGGTTTCTCTCACTAAGCATAACGTTTACCAGATTCATCCACATTGTGGCATGTGTCAGTACTTCGTTCCCTTTATGGCCGGACAACATTCCATCGTACGGACGTGCCACGTTGGTTTATCCACTCATCTGGTGGTGGGTATTTTCGCAATTGCGAATAGTGCTGCTGTGAACAGGCATGCACAAATATTTGAACACCTGTTTTTAATTACTTTGGATAGACACCTAGGGGTAGAATTGCGGGGTCATAGAGTAATTCTGTGTTTAACTTTGTGAAGAAATGCCAAAGTGTTTCCTTCTTTTAACCAGGAGGTTGAATCTCAGCAAGGTCACTCCAGTGTTGACTGGGATTTAAAGCCCAGTGGGCTGGCTCCAGGGCCCCTGTTTTCAACTACCATGCTGTCCTGCAGTTAGGGCCATCATCCCTGGTTAGCCCATTCTAGTCTGTGCACGGTACTGGGCAAAGCAAGCGTGGAGAGCACGGAGGATGACAGGCAGGCTCTCCTAAACTCAAGGAACCAGTTGTATCATTCTTGGCCAACCAGTGGGTTTCCTAGTTTCTGATAGACCCTCCTTTTCCGTTGGGCATCTTGACTTCTAAACTTTGGAAAGTCTGTGTTGTTGCTGGGTCATTTGATTGAGTTGGTTTTTTCATAGGTTGGTTGTTGGAGTTACTCAGTTTTTCTCTCTCACTCTTTGTCTCTGGATACACGTGTATGTATATAAAAATAAGGACTGACAATGTTAACTTGACAAAGTAATATCAATTCATTGGACATTAGCTGTGAGCAACACTTATATTAGCCTAAATCTCCCTGGCACCTAGACAGACTAGGTCTCATCGTCCCCCTTTCTGTCATGCAGGGCAGAAGCCCAGAGGGATGAGGTGACTTACCCACAGTCACACAGCTTGTAACTGGCAGAGCTGGGATTTGAATCTCAGTCTGTGCAACTCTGCAGCCTGGATTCTTCCTCATGTGTTTGCTGGTTTCTCTAGACTCCCCCCAGGTACCACATTTTCCACACTAATGCAGTGATTGTTTCCCCCCCCCCTTAAAAAAAAAACCCTCATTACAGTTCTTGTTTTCCCAGAACCACACATCCCCAGAGGATTTTGGGGTGCTCCAAATTTCTTACTTGACCATGAGAAAATGGGAATTCCTACTGGGGCAGTGGCCTTTCTTTCTTTCTTTCTTTTTTTTTTTTTTAAGATTTTATTTATTTATTTGACAGAGAAATCACAAATAGGCAGAGGCAGGCAGAAAGAGAGAGGGAGAAACATGCTCCCTGCTCAGCAGAGAGCCCGACACAGAGCTTGATCTCAGGACCCTGAGATCCTGACCTGAGCTGAAGGCAGAGGCTTAACCCAGTGAGCCACCCAGGCACCCCGGGCAATGGCATTTCATTCATCTTTTCTTAGTGGTTTACTAACCAGCATGTAGCAAAAACAGATTAACTGGTGTTTACGCTCAAGGTGGTAGTGGTAGGTTTTTTAAACTGACTCTGCGTCCTTGCCTTGTCAGTACGTCAGTGACTGGGGTGTGAGGTGTAGATCTCTTGTGTGGAGTTGTTCATCCTTCTTTCTGTCAGAGGGATGCTCTACAAAACTGGACAGGGAAGGTCCAGGTCCTAGCTTCTGTGGCAGCTCAGAAAGCTGGAGACTGATCCTTCTAAGGTGAGAGGGTGATAAAGGTGGCATAGGTGGGTATGTCCCACCCACGGGGAGTCCGTGGCTCCCTAGGCACCAAGTAGTGAAATGCTTTGCCTGGAAGATAACTTCCTGGAGCCTCATTTCCTTCCCTAGGTCCCCCTCTCCTGAGGGCCATAAAGGGGGAGCTAGGGCATATGTATACCTGCTTCATGCACAAGCTTTAATGACAGTAATTCTCTGACCTTTTAAAATGGATAAATCTCCTTGGCAGTGGCGTTATTTCTAAAGCTTAGCTCAGAGTGGGGGCTGAGGCGCTGGAGACATGGCTGGACCAAGGAGAAGATTGATTAGCCCTGAGGGGATCTGTTCTAGAAACCTGCCACGCCCATGGTAGTTTGGGTAGAAAAGTATGTTTTTGGCTAGAGCGTGAGTCCTCCCGTCACCTCCCAGATGGATGAAAGCAGGCAGGCTGTTTCTCAGATTGCAGTGGATTTATTCCTTTGATCACCTACCTTTGTCTGTCTCCTCTGTGAGCTCTGATGGATGCTCTGTTCTCATGTCTCTGTTATTCGCCGTCACAGGGAACACGAGGCAAGAATCTTATTATCGCTGGCTGTTTAACTCCCTTCCAGCATCACCAGGTAGCATAATAACCGCGTGATTCGCTGTTCTCTTTCTTTTATCCTGCTTTCCTTCCTCCTCCCTTCTGAGCTTCCAACCAAAAGGTGTGGGGAGAACCTGGAGAGAAGGATCTGGCGTTTTCCAGACACCTACTGTGTGCAGGTGTACCCTCACAAGAAAGGTGGTTGTTAAACCCATTTGTGCATGGAGAGCCTCCCGCTCGGAGAGGCAAATAACCATCCCAGGTCACCCAGCACACTGAGGCCAGGACAAGGATTAAAATCTAGGCCTAACTAACCGTGGAGTATTTTCTCTCTTTCTAATGCTGTCTCCAGAACAGGGAGTGGAGGTGTGAATGCTCAGAGGAGTCCTTCCCAAAACCTAGGCTCTTTACTTTTCATGATGATGCCTGTCCTCCCTGTGTGGACTGGGTCTCACCTCCTTCCATCAGCTGTTTGTAAATTCACAGCACCCTCCCTATTAGAGAGGCTGTGACTGGCTTCCCAGGGATCATTTCCTAACAGAAGTAGTGCTCTTTTCTGCCCAGCAAGTGTCACTTCGTAATTACCAGTGTAATTAGAGCAGGACTTACCATCTGAGCCTCTTTGGAAGTGGCAAGTCGGCCTATATAGGTAGCTCTGGCTTAGAAGGGTGTATGAATACGTAAGGAACCTGTGGTGTCTTCAGGGCTCGAGCAGACCCGCAGGAAGTTACCTCTCAGACTATCTAGGTAGATCTAGAGGCTTCCCATGGTTCCAAGAATAACACCCAAACACCCTGGCAGGGGATGGCTCCCAGGCATCTTTCTGCCCTGGCCTTTGCCAGCCCGCTGCTCCTGGAGGCTCTCAGATCCAACGCCCCCCTTCTTTTAGGGGCCTCCGATGACTATCCAAATTATCACTGTCTTTCCTGCCCCAAACATGTTCTTGTCCATTGTTGTATCTTACCTTTTTCATGCCACTTACCACCATCTGAAATAGTATTCTTGTTCTCTTGTTTATTTTCTGGACTTCCTCTTACTGAAATGAAATCTCCTCAAGAACCATTCCTTGCTCACTGGTCCTCAGATGTCACGCTGGATTTAAATCAGAGACCTTAGCTGATACCTTGCTACTCCTTTTAAATTCAGTCATGTTCCGTTGTTTATCACCATGACTCTTTTTAATTACTTTGTCTACTTGTTCTTTTCTCCTTTGTGCATGGAGGGAGTCTGTAAAATTCCTATTAAGGAGTATCCTATCTTTGTATTCCACTGGATCCCCAGTGCCTAGTGTGGAGTAGATTCTCAGTGCACACAGTATGGATGGATGGACGAGTGGGGGGTGGGGTGGGTGAGTGGGTTTGGGGATGGATGGATGAATGGGTGGATGGAAAAATGGGATGGATGGATGAATGAAT